ATATTTCAGCCATCATTATAGTCAAACAGTCAGTATTGCCAAATAGATTGAAAACAAACAACGCTTGCTTACAATGGGCTTACAATGACTTACAAAGATACATAACGGCTACAAGCGTATGCACTACTTGCTTTTTTGAGACCCCCCAAAATTTCACAAATCACGTTTTCAGGGGAGCCCATGTCTTATTAAGGGGAGCCGAGCTCCCCCGTAGTTCGCACCCTGGTCATACCAACGCTGGTTGGTTATACAGATAGAAGCAAGAAGACATTATTCAAAACTGTCAAGCTTTTGCAACATAAAGAAAACTGTAAAGCTTTTGCAAAATAAAGAAAACTACTTTCTGCTGTCTCGTTTTCCTTTCCGAGAACTTTGGAACGCGTCACAATGAACCGTAACTCAGCACATTTTTTCTTTCGTTTTGTTAATCTGTCAATGATTTAAGTGAAATATATTTCGTGTATATGCCTATATTCCTTTTTATGTAAGCCTATAGTTTTATTCTGTTTTCTATGTTCACAGAAGCGCTGCAGTTGCGTGTGATCTGTTGAATCCTCCTTACACTATTTTCGGATAAACTCTTTAACATTGCCATTGCGACTTACCTATGATGAGTTCACAGCTGAGCGGGCATTTCACTCATTGTGTTACATTTGCATAGACTGTACTACTGGAATTCATGATTGGTTGACAGCAAATTTCAAATATTAAATGGAACGATAAAATAACGTTATTAACCGGTATTGTTCGGAACTATAACATTTTATTTAGTTTCTGTTTCTGGTTCTGTTCCTGTAAAAATTTCGTTCGTTTCCGGTTTTCGTTTTCGTTCCTTGAACCGGTTCAGAGCCCAGGTAGGTAGGTAGGTAGGTAGATAGGTAGGTAGATAGATAGATAGATAGGATGCAAGTAGTTTTTCTCTTGGTGCTTTTGTTAGCATAGGTTTTGGTTGCAACACCTCAGAAGGTGCGAAAATCAAGTTCAGAAGGGCCGATGCATCTCTTTGCACATGATGCTATATATGCTGAATATGTATGTTTTGGCAGCCTAGAAACTGGCATCATAAAACACAGCGTGAAGATTATCTGTTACTGGAATCAGTGCAGTCTGCTTTATGTTGCTGGGGATTTTCTTGAGAATCTTTAGATATTGTCTTCATTACTGTCCTCTAAAGCCCAAGTGCATAGATAATGTTTATTTTGTTATATTCAGCTTCTCTGTATTTTTTAAAAAGCATGCTGGGATGTAAAATAATTTTTGATTTAGATTTTATCCTGGATGTTATTGAAGATATAGCAAAAAAGCATAAGAACTATGCTTGTGAATTGTTGCTGAGAGGATTCTACTCTCCAAAAAAAAAATCCACTTAACGTAAGCGTCTTTAGGTCGCATTTTCATGCAAATCAGAGGATATGGCTTTCAGGACACTTTCACCTTTGCATATATCCAGAGCAGATTAAAGAGCCTGTCCTTAAGGAAACGCTGTCTAGCTGGAAATGAACCAAAACCAGGGAGGAAAAATTCCTCAGACATTTTCAAGAGTCACTTTACACTGTGTCCTAACCAGACGTGGTGCAATAATGAGACTAGATAAAGATGAACTCTTCCTGGTTCATCTGTGTTTTTGTCTTGTCCCGTCCATAGACTGGTTGTTTTCCTGGTTGCTTTGTTTCCACTTCTGCAGCGTCATGAGATCTCATAGAGAACTCTTGCACACTAGAGAAAGCTCTGGCAGGGCATTTGATGGATAATGAAGCTTAAGGTGATGTTGAGGATATGGAAAGAGCCAGGTCAGTTTGAAATCGGATATAAAATAAAACGGGAATAAAATTGGATTTTTGAAAGTACAAATGCATCCTCATCTCTAAAAATCACATTGGCGAAGGATGCTGCAGCCAAACTTTTCTCAGGTTTTGTTCATGATGGAGTGTCGCTTTTTGGACTGTTACACATCTTTGCGGCGCATTAAATAATTAGATTTTTAGTGAAATGTTATTTTGGTTATGATGTCATTTCCATCTAGAAGAAGAGAAAAATTATTAATTCTATATATACATTTAATATATTTAAGTATATATATATGTATGTGTGTGTGTGTGTGTGTGTGTGTATATATATTTAAATGTAAATGTGTGTGTATGTATATATACACTATTTTAGCTCAAAATATTTTTCTGATTAATGTTTTTCCAAAATAATAATTTAAATCCATAAAAAAAAGCTTTTATATTTGCAAATTTGCAAGCTCATGAACTAATTAGTTTTCAGAAATACAGTTTGCAAATGCACAACCAAATTTACATTCATAATCTGTATGGCTTGACTTGACTTGAAAGTAAAATTCACAAATGCAAAACACAGTTCATAAATACGCGAGTGTGTTTGCACATTTCTGAATGTTTCTGCAATTTGGAAATGGATTTTATTGTTTCCTAAAGACTGTGTCATTTGACTAGTTTCACAATCTGAATTGAGTTTTGAATCTGCATTTGCAAATTGTTGTGCGTGGATATATTTAGTGAATGCATTACTTTTGAGACTATTTGAGCTCAATACTTAAAAAAAAAAATCCTCATGCAGTGTTCGTGAATGACCTAAAATTAAATTTGTATTGTAAATCTATATTGTTTATTTAACATACCAGTGCTGTTATGGTCACCAAATATTGTGCATTTCTTGTTAATCTCAACATGTGTTTATATGAAGACTATTCACAGAGCAGAACGGGCTGTTGATGTTTGCTTAAGCCGAGTAATGAAACACAGCCCTGAGCTCTTACAATGGAGATCAATATGCTTCTGGTGGAGGGAAACTGGAGCTCTCTAATGGGATCAAGACTGGGGTTGAAATGGCAGGTGAAACACCAGTCACATTGTTCCTCCTCTCAGAAACGACATTCTATCCGTCTCTCGGCCTCTCCTCCACCGTCTGGCCGCTGCAATTCAATTGTAATAGATTTTCAGCGGAAGCTAATGGAGAGGCGGCCTATTAGGACGGGTTTTTCCTCCTGATGGCCTCGTCATTTTCCGGTAAACCGGGCGATGAAGCACATAAAAAGGCCCATAAACGCTATTGTGCTTTCTCTCCGGACAACGAGATTAATGAATGACATTTGTCAACTTTTCATAACGTGTTCGCTCTGTTACAAAACCTAGTGAGCTGCCTACGTAAAAAGATGCCTACTTTGGTTAATTTCCAATGCAGCATCACTTATATTCTTTGTTTAGAATGGATGAAAAATGTATTTATTCAGTATTTGTGTATGCTGTGTATTTTTGTGATTATAGAGTGCAACAGTCAGCTTCTGGAAGTAAAAATCCCATTCATTTTCTCCACTGGAGAATTGATTTTGAACAGTAACTTATAAGTCATTAAAACAGACCTACCGTGAGCTACGAGGATGTTAATCGATGGTATATGCATTTGTTGTAGCCATCAGCCGCATTATTTCAGCTTATTTTTTAAAAGAATGGTGTTTAACATCAGAAAAAACTACATTACCCATGATTCTACAGAGAAATCTTCATCGAAACAAGCAAATCACACCAAAAAGAACTTCTTAAATATTTTTGTATATATGTGTGTTTGTTTATATTTGTCAAATAAACAAAATTTGACATCTTTACATCACTAGTTATATATTTAGCTGTTTTTGTTTCAGTTATGCCATTCGCAGTGCTGCATGGGATTGTAGTTCTTTCCCCCACTAAAACTGTTAAGTACAGTCTTGCACCTTTGTCTTTCTCTCCGGTTTTCAAGCACTTTTTTTTGCTTCAGATCAAAGTTTGTAATTTTGTAAATCTCCTCACAGCTGCTTGGTTTGGATCACGGCTTGTGAAACTCTTTAACAAAGTCTTTTTTTAAATCCCAATGGGGAAAATGCTTGCCAAACCGAGACATTGAAAAAGTGGCTAAAAAGCATTGAACTACTTTCTCTTTCTGCCACTTAACGCCTTCAAGCTTTTGATTGAAGCACGGCTTCCATAAGCGGCTCAGAAAGAGGACGAGGAAGATGCGAGACCCTCGTAATTGATTAATATTAGGTCAGTTGGTGCAAACCCTTCATCCCCCAGGAGAATCAGAGCTTGGCCCCGGAGAGACCGGCACAGGCTTAAAGAGTCATCTGCTGTAATTGGATTTCAAATCTCATGAAGTCTTTCCTATTTGGTTATTAATTGAAAGCACTTAATGACCCTTTTTTTCTCGTCATCGGTGGCTGTGACTCGTGAGGTTGTATTGGTGCCCGTGCTGTGAGGTCAAAGGTCATGTTTTCACTCACATGTGCCTTACAGCATTCCACTGCAGTTTTTATAACCTCCTCATAAATCAATCACATTTCCCCCAAGGACTCCTTTGCCCGCTCTGTTCTCCTCCAGAGACGACGCCTCTTGCAGTGCTCGTTTCTGTCTTCGAAGTGTACAGAATATACCAGAATACAACGACGCATGGTTAAAGATTCACTCCTTTTCAGTGTTTTAGGCAAAAAGTGTTAAAGCGATAGCTTGGTCACTTGCCCAGCATCTTCTTGTTTCAAATATTGTTGCAGGTATTTTGTATCTTCACTTAGCAATTGTAATAAAGAAATGCATTCAAACTAGTGTCATATTAAATATATTCACAATATATTTAGCAAATTTAAGCAGTTTTGTGAATGATTTAATTGTGCTAGTAAGTCTATATAGTTTTGTTTTTTGTTTTTAATTAATTATTGTATTTATAATTATATATATATATATTTATTTTTAGTTATTTTAGTACTTCAACTTACAATAGACAAAAATGAGAAATGTTACCTTGGCAACTAGCTGAAATTTAAATGTATGTTTTTTTGTTTTATTTTATTTCAGATAGTGTTTATTTTCTTTCAAGTCATGAAATTGTTTTTAATGGTTTTAGGTATATAATAACCGTGGTACATATAGGTTAACATTTAAACTGAGCCATTTATATCTGTGTGTGTTTCAAAATTCTTAACCCATCTCTGTGTGTTCTTGTTATAGATATGGAAAAATCGTATCAACCAAGGCCATCTTAGACAAAGCCACAAACAGATGCAAAGGTATGTACGAGTATGTTCTGATTTCTGTGGCTCAGAATCTGTGCAGTTTAGTGTTTTGTGCTAAGATGAGATGTCATATTCCTCTGAGAGCTGCTTAATTCAGTAGATTCAGAATCATCACATTGTATGGATGTGCACATCAACTTTTAATTAAAACAGATCCTGAAAATGGTTCTTATGACTGAGATAATGAAAGAACGCAGCTGATTTTGCAGTAAAGTGCCGAGTATAAATCCTGCTAATTTTCTTCATGGAGAAACCCATTTTAAATGATAACAAAAAACATCGTATGTAATAAAAAATAATGTGCCTGTTATCTGTACATGTCATTCCTTGTAGAAAAATACAAATAAATAAGTAAATAAAAATCATGTTTGCTTGCCAAATTTCTTAAATTTACTATAGGAAAAAAAAACGAATTGGAAGAAATACTTTAGAACCAAGGCTGCTGAAAAACTGGACATTCAGTAGCATTTCAATATAGTGCACATTCAGGCTTTTATTCATTTTCATGAATCTCATCATTCATGAAAAATGCAACCTCTATATGACATATTTTGCCAGCCATAAATGTATGGATCAGCTCATGGTGTATAGTCATGTATTAACATTGCATAGAAGTGATTTTTGACTGGGTTGCATCTTATACTGTGATTTCGACCAACCACAAAGTGTTTTATCTGGTCCTCCGCTTGTGTATAGTGCTTTTCATCAGAGTCACGTCATGATTCACGACCGCTGAGCTGCAACCTTGACATTGTATATATGGGTAGATCTAGAAAAAATCCAGCCATTTGATAATCTTCAGTGCATCTCAAAATGTATTTATTTCCTCTGAAATACCTTAAAAGTGTGATATATATCAGAAAAACCATCATTTCAACCAAAGTGTAGGTTTGAATTTGACATTGGTGAAATAAGACAAAAAAAGTAGGGATACACCGAAATGAAAATTCTTAGCCGAAGCCGAACAAAATGAAACACTGGGCCGAATACCGAACATGGTTTTCCGCATTTTTCCCCCCATGTAGACCTATTTTGCCATTTTTTTTGAAGGAAAGCGAGGAAAAGAGGGAAAACTCCCCCCACCCCCCCACGATGATAGCAGTATTACCGGTGTGTTGATTAACCGGTGGGAAAATTTCCTCACCGTCACAGCCCTACTGTACAAATACAGATTTATAAATGATTCTCATTACGAATTTGGGAAGATGTTTGTCGCACGTATTACATTGTCACATGCCTTTAAAAAAATTCACAAAACTGTTACTGAGCAACTGACGAGTAACACAGTTTCAGTAGTGCGTGCCTCTATTTGATCGCGTTAGTCATTGTTCGGTACATATTATTCGGCCTTTTCGCTTATTCGGTCGAACACCGAAAGAGATTTTTTTGCTATTTTCGGCCGAATAATTTCGGTTGCCGAACATTCAGTGCATCCCTACAAAAAAGTATGATATGGATACATACACATATTGTTTGATTTAGTAACTACCAGAATTGTGAGATTTAAACTCAGAATTATGAGAATAAAAGTCAGAATTGTGGGAATGAAGGTCAAAATTTTGAGATAAAAAGTCAAAATGACCTTTTTTATATTTTTAACATGTGGCAGAAACAGGCGTCCATATATTGCCAATAAAGGCATTGCAATATATTATATAAGTGCGTGCAAATACGAGTTTCTCATCTGTAAGCACACTAATGTGTTGTGTGTGTGTGTGTGTGTGTGCACGCCCTGCTTTGCGTAATTGTGCAGCTATGCTGGCGTGGGTGTATCAGGAAACAGATACCCAGTCAGTCTGTCGCTGCTTCCCAGACCCCTCGATGTTATTCCTGTCCTGGCCTCGCTGTCTTGACTGAGGCCTCTGGGGGTTGTTCCAGGCCGCTGTAGTCCAGGATCTGGCTCCGTTCCTGGTTTTGGCACCTTGGGGGCACGACTGCCTCGGAGCTTGTGGCTTAGTCACAGCGCTGTGGATTATTTATGTGCTGAGTAATTTCAGTCGGGCCTGAGGAGGAGGGTGTTGATGGAGCGGCTTCAGTCCGGCTCTCCTCAACCCTGCCGAATCTAAAGAAGCCAGATGGAAAATATTAACCCAGAGTATCACAGTGATGCACGAATGCAAATGATCTAAATGTGACTGAACGACCGACCCAACCCATAGTTTAACCAGCAGAGCCTGACTTTCACTTTCACATCAAACTGCTCAAGCTTATATAGTTGCATGATTTTGCTGGAAATGTAAAAATAAGCTTTTTGTTTGATTAATGATTCTAGTTTAGACTAGTTTTACAGTTAGGTTGGTTAAGTCTGGTTAATAATAGTCAGAAAAGTGTCATTTTTGAACAGTTTATTGAACAAAATATATTAAAAGAAAGTTTGCATGTGCATTTGTTAAGGATCATATTTGATCCATTTGGCTTTTATGGCTCATATAGTATGATATAGTGAGAATATGGAGAAAAAAACAGCTCAGTTTTATTCAGAGGCCCAAACTGTCACTCTCCAATAATGTCTTAATAAGATGTTATTTAAATGCTAAGTTTTATGATCAAAACATTTAATGCAATGCAATACAATGATGATTGAGAGATGAACAAATTAACGTTCCTCAAAAGACTCAAATTTGAACATGATTTTTCTAAAAAATCAATGATGGGTAATCAAGTAAAAAATGACTTCAGTCCAGTAAGTGTTCATCTTGAAATAGTACTAACAATATAAAAGTTATTCTTGCATTTACTTGATAAAAATCAGTAAAGATTTCACAGCGAAAAGACACGTGAAGCACGAGCTGAAGGTGGGCATTTGTACAATTATATTAAAAGACATTTTACTCGCTAAAAAAACCTAAACTCTCAATCAGACGATGAAAGAAAGATTGTGTGCAATGTTTTTCAGCAAAGTTGATCATGCTGATCATTTAGAGGCCTTAGAAATTCATTATACAATAGGCTTTATAGGGTTAAATTTACATGGATCAGTTCAAAGTGTCCATTTCAGTGAATCAGTTTAAAACTGAATCACTCAACAGTGCTTACAGTAGACTCTCCATTTTTCATCTATTAAAATGTCTTGGAAAAGGTGTAGGAATATGTTCTTAATTTCTCTGTGTTGGTATATTGGAAAATATAAATGTATTTTATATTTGGTTGAAATGTTGGTTCCTCTTTTTTATGAAACACTCTTTCATGTAGTTTCAGAGCAAATCCATATACAGTATATTAGCAAAAGACTATCGTTATTACTTGTGCGGATGGATCATAACTGCGTTTAGTGAGTGTTTCTTTGTCACATATATTTGAGCTATTAGTCAGGATGTTGTGCGTTTGTGGTTTGACCTGTTGGCTGATTAAATATAGCAGCAGAGGAGTGTGAAGGGTGGAGCTGAACATAAGGACTTGTCTTGGATCGGCTTCCTCGTGTCCGTTTAATTGTTCTCATTACGGGAAGCAAACACTGATAGTGCAGCGCTTCTCTTGATATATGACTCACAGCACACTTACTGAGATAAGATGCTCTCTACATGCAGAGCTTTGCTTCCTCCTGCCCTGAAAGGGTCTTTACCCAATACACACTTTGTATTTGCAACACTCTCACGGGAGGCTCTGTGTCTGCTGGTGATTTGTGTATCAAAAAAACATCAGTGCACACATTAGATGGTGTCATTTAGGATCCTTTGAGTCTTGCATTTTTATTTTCTACTAAATTGTGTTTTTCTGTAAATCACATCATTCCTTGTTACGAGAAGTTCCTTTGTTTACAGTAACTGAGTTTCAGTTTTCATTAACCCTTTCCAAAACATTTTGCATGGATAAATGTGATCTAAATCATTTTATGTTGGATGCAGCATTACACAAAAGTTTTACACAAAATACTCAGTTTATGGGTGTATTTGTCACATTATTAATTTATCCTACACTCAAAAGTATCTTATAATGGAAGATAAAATAAATAGTACTTGAACTGTTAATGTAAGATCACTTGAGAGGGGACTAACTTTTAATTTTATTTTTAAAAAAATATTTTATTTTATTTTATTTTATTTTATTTTATTTTATTTTATTTTATTTTATTTTATTTTATTTTATTTTATTTTATTTTATTTTATTTTATTTTATTTTATTTTATTTTATTTTATTTTATTTTATTTTATTTTATTTTATTTTATTTTATTTTATTTTATTTTATTTTATTTTATTTTATTTTATTTTATTTTATTTTATTTTATTTTATTTTGTTTTGTTTTGTTTTGTTTTGTTCCACTGAGAATAAAGTAAATTAAAGGAAAAAATATACAAAATAGAATATGTAATGAATATGTAAAGAATATGAATAATAATAATTATAATTATTATTATTATTAAATATATATTACATTTATTGTTCCTAAAATGTGCTTTCTTTAGTTTATTTTTCTATTATTATTATTATTATTATTATTATTATTATTATTATTATTATTATTATTATTATTATTATTATTAATTTTTCTATTATTATTATTATTATTATTATTATTATTATTATTATTTTAGGCTGAAATGGTACATGGGTGTTTTTAGTTTCACCCTGTTACTGTAGTACACCATGTTTGTTCAGGTCAAAACTGTGTGTTGCCCTTCTCGGTTTATGTGTGCTGTGTATTTAAGCTGATGTTGTGCTTGTCTTTCTCTCAGGCTATGGCTTTGTGGACTTTGACAGCCCTGCTGCTGCTCAGAAAGCCGTCAGCGCTCTGAAGACCAGCGGAGTTCAGGCTCAGATGGCAAAGGTAAGAACACACCTGTTCCTGCTGTCACCTGCAGCGAGATCCGTCTGACACGCTTCACTGGGTCATGTGACGTCAGCAGACTGTGATGTCAGAGGCAGATGCCTGAGAGTGTGAGGAGGACACACCTGTACAGGTGCAGCATCCAGACGAGCCGGCTGAATGACTGAAAGACAAACAGGAGCCAGTCAGGAACCTGCCCAGATCACATTTCACCACTAAAATCAACAGCAAACAAATTATATTAGAAGTTATATCTTCCATTAAGTAAATGAAGACTGCCTTCTAGATTATCAAGATATTTTGTATTTTGACAATGACGTTTTCATGACAACTCAAAATATTAACAAAACCTACAATAGTATATCAGTGTTACTGAAATAGCATTGCCCTGACTGTTCTTGGTCTTTTGCGACGATTCACCAATAAATTTGCAAAGCATCAGAGCAGCAGAATTTGCATGCACGTTTATTTAAAGGGGAAGTGCATAATTAAAACAGAATTGCAGATTTTAAGTGGGACATGGAAATGTTAAACCGTATCAGCACTGACAGGGTTTTTATGGCTGAAAATCACAGTTCAGTTATATTTTTAAATAAGGCTTTGTCTTAAAGAAATAGTTCACCTAAAAAATTGAAGTTTTGTCTCTCTTTCTCCATGCACAGTGCATTAGAAATGGACGAGAGGCGTGCATTTGTCATGCTCACTTTCTGCCACAGACATCTTGGCTTGTTGTCCTTGGATGTATCTTCCTTTCACCTTGTTTATGATATAAACAGATGGTTAGACATTAATATCTCAGACAGGAAGCCCCTGGAGTAACCTGGTGACATGGCACTGTGTCTGAACCCTGCACTCTGGCTTTGTTTGCAATGGAAAAACGGACTTATTTTTAAGTATGTACTTTATACTTCCTACTGTGTTTTAAACATATGTATGTGACTCACAGAACACAATATGCAACAATAAGTGGTAACACTTTATAATAAGGGTACATGAATAACCATGTACTAATGGCTACATTAATACTTAATTCATCGTATACTAATGATTACTGAAGTTGCTAACTAATCATGAACTAATAAATCCTTAACTACAACCAGAGTCAAAAGGATTCACGCATGAATAACGGCAGCCTTAACTACATGTTAGTACCTGTTTGATAGTTAATGCATTAATTAACATTCATTGGTAAACTAAATCAAACAGCCTCTTTAAGAACAAATAAGAAATACTATGACTTTTAAATTAATTTAAATAATTTAATATCATAATTTGAGCTTTTTTCATCTTCAGCATTGTCATAATCATTACTGGGTGGCAAAGGATTGGTTGATCCTCTTCATCAAGTGTAAACAATGCTAAATACACTAATAACTGATCTTGTCTGTTTTGTGTTGTTCTCTTTCCGTTTAAACTTACCCTACTGTGACTTATACCAAATGGCCAAACTGGAAACGTACTGCAGGTAAAGTCACAGCGTTTGCTGGATATCAGTACAGTTCACTCTCCATGGCAGGCCATGATGATACTGTACCTCCGCTCTCTGACCTCTTAACCGTACTGAATACTCGCTGTGTTAGTACATGTCCATTTCATATTAAGTATAGAATAAATAATGAGCTGAGTTTAGAAAGTAATTAACAGGGAATTAATTATGATTGGGCCCCCTCAAGTAAAGTCATGTCAAAATAATGCATTAACAAACCATTAGTAGATGTTAGTGTATGGGTAGTTAATAATGAGTTAGTTATGTTGGGCCCCCTCAAGTAAAGTCATGTCAAAATAATGCATTAACAAACCATTAGTAGATGTTAGTGTATGGGTAGTTAATAATGAGTTAGTTATGTTGGGCCCCCTCAAGTAAAGTCATGTCAAAATAATGCATTAACAAACCATTAGTAGATGTTAGTGTATGGGTAGTTAATAATGAGTTAGTTATGTTGGGCCCCCTCAAGTAAAGTCATGTCAAAATAATGCATTAACAAACCATTAGTAGATGTTAGTGTATGGGTAGTTAATAATGAGTTAGTTATGTTGGGCCCCCTCAAGTAAAGTCATGTCAAAATAATGCATTAACAAACCATTAGTAGATGTTAGTGTATGGGTAGTTAATAATGAGTTAGTTATGTTGGGCCCCCTCAAGTAAAGTCATGTCAAAATAATGCATTAACAAACCATTAGTAGATGTTAGTGTATGGGTAGTTAATAATGAGTTAGTTATGTTGGGCCCCCTCAAGTAAAGTCATGTCAAAATAATGCATTAACAAACCATTAGTAGATGTTAGTGTATGGGTAGTTAATAATGAGTTAGTTATGTTGGGCCCCCTCAAGTAAAGTCATGTCAAAATAATGCATTAACAAACCATTAGTAGATGTTAGTGTATGGGTAGTTAATAATGAGTTAGTTATGTTGGGCCCCCTCAAGTAAAGTCATGTCAAAATAATGCATTAACAAACCATTAGTAGATGTTAGTGTATGGGTAGTTAATAATGAGTTAGTTATGTTGGGCCCCCTCAAGTAAAGTCATGTCAAAATTATGCATTAACAAACCATTAGTAGATGTCAAAATAATGAACTCAAATATACATATTTTAAATGTAATAAACACTTTTCTATCACTTCCACTATCTGTCATATGCGTAGGACGTCAGCGTTGTGTGATTAGTGACGAACGCGGAGAGAGAACAAAACAAAACGCCGGTCATGAATTAGAAGTACAAACCGAGGATTTGTAAAGAAAAATGTCGGAGGATTTCGATATAAGCCAAGAGGAGACTGGTTTTCCTTTGCTAAAGTAAGGAAACTTTGCTTCCTT